AATTCCCATGGGACCATTAAAGTGTATACAGTATTGATTTGCTGCCCTTTTAGGAAAGAGTGCCTTCAAATTTCTCTTCTTGGAGATTGCCTGTGCTACTCCTTACTATTTTCTTTATTGCCTCCTTCTAGAGCTGAGATCACTAGCCCAAGAATCATACAGTTTGGTTTGTGCCGAAGTCCCAAAGGTGCTTTTTTTCTCAAGAGGTAACTGGACTTTCTGGTTTGTTTGTTTTTTAAGACAAAGATGAAAGAAGCCCAGTTGCCTCTTGAAAAAGCACCTTTGGGACAACCATGACCTGGATGACTGAGAATCTCCATAGACGTTTGTGCCTAAGGCAGGAATAGAACTCCCAACTCTTCTGCTGGTTTGTAGATTGATGCTTTAACCAGACAGGCTCTTGGGATAACTAGATTACAGATAGGACAGTATAAAAATATAATCTCATGAAGATCATCATCGTCATCATGAAAACACCAGGGATTTCTGACATAATTCAAAGAGCAGGAATCCACATACAGAAATGCAGAAGGCATTTAACAGAACAGAATAACAGAATTGGGAACTGATTAATATAGTAATTTGCTAAACTTCACAAAAATGGCAACTTCCATAAGGTTGCATCTATTAAATTTAAGGAAATTGAAAAGAAAAAAAAATAGATCCAGTGAAACAGGAAAATTAAATTTGCCCTTCAAGCAAATTTGCATATTTTCTTAATAAAATGATAATTTAATACTTTTTTTGAGGAAAACATTCAAAAAGCAATTCTAAATAGATTTTTGCATAAACAAGTCTGGATCAAGGCAGTGAATTGAACCAAATGTTAAGACTTTTTATGGTACATCAAGCTGCATGCAAAATGATTTTTGAAATCCTCATTTCTATCTCAGTCATGTTATTTTAATAAAAATACAGCTTTTGTGTCATTTATATATCTGAGACATCTTTTGTGAAATGGCCTTTGACATATCCATGCTGAAAACAATGAGATAATTAAAAAAAAAACCTAATAATTTCCATTTGTTAAAGATGGGAATTGCCTACTATTAACAATTGTCTCACTCAGCAATAGAAATTTTGGACTCAATTGTGGTTATTCGTTGAGGACTGTACAGTATGCAGTATTAATACCACAATTTGACCTGTTTTGTATTACTGTACAACTTCTACAATCAGAAACTGCTTTAAATTGCTCAATGTTTTTTCTTTTAGTTTTTTTTTATGACAACAATATCCAGAGTTGCCGTGTTGCTACACTGGAGTTTCTTGACATCTTGGGTAAGTTTTGACATCTTTTATGTTGCTAGAAGAATTCTAAACATATTTCTAATGATGAGAATTATAGCATATAGGGTTATTTTTATCCTAGTAGTATCAGCTGCGAAGTATCAGGAACATACATTAAGTTGCAGTTTAGAAGATTTATTGTTCAAGTCTATACCTAAAAATCTAATCAATTAGCAGTTAATACAAAATTGGCACTAGATAAGAGTTAAAGGAATTTCAGGTGCAGAGTTGGATTTAGATTGCTTATGGCAAGGAATGAATCCAGACTGCTCATTCTTAATTCCACCCCTGGCTTTGCCTCTTCTTTTACATCTAAACGGATTTGAAATGGTGGTAATAGTCATGCTAGTTGAAGAGGTACCTGATTTAGCAATATCTTTCTGCCTAAGATGAAGAGAGAATGGTGGTGAAATGTCTGGAATCCTCTCAACCCCAATTCATGATGTGGTTCATCCTCTTTAACACCATTTAAAAATGGTTGATTTTTGGCCATCAAAGGGCTCTTAAAAACTTGTGGGGTTTTTTGTTAGATCTATATTGTGACAGTCTTTGCTTTGCAGGATATTGTGTTCTTTTATTTCAATATGAAGTTTTTAATGTTTGTATGTAAGTGTTTTTTCTCACCAGTGTGTCTGCTTAACATAGTGCAATGTGGGGCTGCTTTGCAGAGCTGCCTTGACTCAAAGTACAGTTGCAGGAATGAAGTGACATTCAACATTTTGCCTAGTCATTTTGCTTGAGTGGAAGTACCTTTTGCACAGAAGTGCCTACAGGTAGAATGCTGAATCCCACTGATGTGGTGGCTTTGAAGACTCAACTGAAACAAAGTGCTCTTTCAAAGCTCCATACAAGCCGAATCTATTGATTTGCGACCTCTTCTCAAGAGGTACAGCCATCCTACCTACTAACATTTTGGAGTGCTGTGACATTAGAATCGCTGACAAGGCCAAAGATTTACTGGGGACAGACCCACAAAATGGAGGGAGGGGAAGAGCAGTGCTTTTTAAAAAATATTTCCTTATACCTGTTTCCTCCTCCAAATGACAGTATTCTGTCCCAGTGAAATCAAGCCAGTTTGCAGGGTTAGCAAAGATTAAAAACTGATTTGGAAATGTATCAGGGAAGCTTTGGATTCTGACTGATCTATTGTTGTCGTACCTGGATACGTGATTAATCAATTAACAAATAAAAATATATCTGCAGTGGTTCAGGAATGCCGTAGCTAAAACATAGAATTAAGGGGATGTACTAAATTTAAATTTCACATAGCAAAGTTGGGATATACCTTGTCTTGGATGAAATGAACAACTAAAGGTGACATGACAGCAGTATTCCAATATCTCAGGGGTTGCCACAGACAAGAGGGAGTCAGCCTATTCTCCAAAGCACCCGAAGGCAGGACAAGCAGCAATGGATGGAAACTAATCAAGGAAAAGACCAACCTAGAACTAAGAAGAAATTTCCTGACAGTTAGAACCATCAGTGGAACGACTTGCCTCCAGAGGTTGTGGCTGCTCCAACACTGGAGGAGTTTGAGATTGGATAGCCATTTGTCTGAAATGGTGTAGGATTTCCTGCCTGAGCAGGAGGTTGGACTAGAAGACCTCCAAGGTCCCTTTTAACTCTGTCATTCTGAATTACTTTCTGCATTATTCAGTAGGTGTCTGTTTAATTTTCTGTGAAATAATGGTATCACTTTTTTTTTTTAGGATTTTCCCCTATCAGGTAGCAAGAAGGATGTTTGAAAATATTAAATCTTGGGCTGAATATATTGTGGAATGGGCTGCAAAAGATCCATATGGATTCCTTACAACAGTGATCCTTGCTCTAACACCTCTATTCTTGGCAAGTGCGGTGCTATCATGGAAACTGGCAAAAATGATTGAAGCTAAAGAACGGGAACAAAAAAAGAAACAAAAACGCCAGGAAAACATTACAAAAGCTAAACGAACAAAGAAGGACTAAGACTTCAATTTCACTGGGCTGAATTTTTCTGGCAATGCACTGTTGCTGTATGTGTACCTTTTTGTTGTTGTATCCTTATAGAAACAAGACATGACTGATTTTTTTCCTGGAATAATGTATCCTTAATTTGTGCTATTAAACTCTGTGGTCATGAACTTAAATTGCTTTTTTAAGAACTCTTATCTTGATTTTTTTTTCTAACCTGGCATATAAGCAAAATGTAAGTTTATAATATATGTGTAATAACTATATAGATATGTATTATTATTTTCATTCAAATCTGTCTTATGATTTTATACCATGCAAAATTGTTTAATAATTTGCATATAATTTTGTTGTATTGTAAAATTTTCCTACATTGTGAAGAATCCTAACTTCATAGTGAAAGCCAGTATTTTCACTATTCTTTGGCATAATGGTTTGTGAGAACCAGATTGTCTCAATTATACAATCCATGATAGCTTAAATTATCATTTGAGAGATTCTCATGGTTAAATGTAAATTATAGCAACCTCATCTACAAAGTATTTGGAAAAAGAGAACATAAAATATGATCACTGGAATAGTCTGCACATAAGCCATAGCTGCTGGATAATAGTTTCTCATTCTTGGTGGCTACATTCTGAGGACAAAGCAATAGTGAATGTTTCCAGCTGAAAGCAGGCAACCACTAAGTCTATAACAACCAGAATCAATGATTATAAATGCTGTCACATGTGTATTAGTTCAGCTAAAGCAGACTGAAGGCAAATTTTAGGGAATCTTGGACAGTTCAGACCAAATGGCAAGCATCATTCTCCCTGTAGCAAGCCCCTTTGGCTGCTTTCAGAAAATGGCTATAGAGGCTTCTCATTCTAAATTATGGCTCCCTATTAAGTCAGTACCTTGCCTTTGAAGGCAACAATTCATGCCTAGTGGGCAAATAAATAGCGCCTTGAAATTCCTTTTATATATTTCCAGTCAAGCCTTCCTATTTCAGCTCTTCAAAAACCAAAGCTTCTTTCGATCATCTTTGAAAATCTCGTAACATTTTGAAGCCTATTTCTTTACATCCAGTTAACTTATAACATAAAGGAGGTATCTTACTTATAACATTGGTCTGGTGAAATTATGACTACTAAACCAACATTGGTTTACTGATTTAAGAATAAACTTAGAGATTGTGTAGAATGGGACACTAATAAAGTTCATCTACTTGTAACTGCATCTCCTGATGCAAAGGATGCCAAGCACAAATATGCATTTTAAACAAAATGTATAGGACATTTAAATATGCTCATTATTGCACATTGTTAATGATTTGTTAAGCTATGAAACATTAAATTTCTACTTTAAATAAACAGTGTTTAAATTAGCTTTGTTAACTTGCACAAGTCCTGACATTTATTAACAATGGGAAATTTTTAACTGTAATGTGCCCCGTCCTAAATAATTATTGTGTTTAGTGACATTTAGAACCTTGTCAAAATCTTATTAGAGAAAATTAGCAAATAAATATAGCATTGCTTACTTTTCATAAACAGCATTTGGGTCCATTTCCATAAACAAATCATTAAAAAAAATATTTTAGGAGAAGCTGTGAACTCATATGAATGACTAAATTTCATTAAGCAGTCTGGAATATGAGAAGTTATAATAGTTTGACAGGTTTAAAGAAAATATCTGCATGTATAGCATACATTGGATATGCCTCTTTTAACATTAATTAACAGTATATATACAGTCATGTAGTACACCATCTGTAATGATTACAGCAGCACTAAATTTTATTGAAGCATAACTTCACTGGAAACATCGAATGATTTAAGAGGCAAAAGAATTAGAGATAGGACATTTTATAAAAAGCAATTAAACATTTCCACAAGAAAAAGCAGAATCTAAGCATTTTGAAAATGCGAAGTTTTTAAGTATAACCTGCAATTTTGAAGAATGTCTTCATGTTGCTGATAAACTAAATGGTGCCTTTCTTGATGCTTTGCACTGGAGGCTTTTATTTTTTATGGTCAGGAGGCATCCAGGCTCCAGGCTGAAATGTATTTGCTGTACTAACAGGGTCTTCTGAGCGTTCAGGCTTTCTGTAGTTGGAAGCAGATGCATGTCCTGTAATCTGTGTTTGAAGTGGTCCTACCTCAAGACCCTCTTCACGATCTTTGGCCTGAAGGAGTTTGCTTTTTTCACCCAAATCTTCAACTTTAGCTTTCATTTCTTTTCTATAGTTCTTATTCTGGATACTTTCCTGGAAAAAAAAAAGTAACACACTGAACTGACTGAATGCTAAGAAGATGCGCTTTGTTTGAATGGCTAGGTTGTGTTGCTTTCACTTTTCCAACAGAAGAGCTTAACTCATTCAGCAAATAGCATTTGAAGAAGCCAAGAAAGGCAGCCCCAGTATAGGCAACTTCATCCAGATTCAACTCATTGGAGTATAGGGTGCTAATTTTCATTTTTCTGGAAATACCCTACCTTGAATTGCTGGAAATCTCTCTAGAGGAGTGTGGCAGACTTGCCCCCAAATTTCATTTCCATTCCATTGACCTAGTCATGGATCAAAAACCCTTCTATCAGTAAATATCAACTAAGAACAAACCACAAACATTAAAATTTTAATGAAAATTTTAAAACACCAGGATGGGAGTACTGCAAACTAAAATACTGTAGGGTCAAAGAATAAAGAAAAAAAAACTAAAGATGCAAAAAGAAAACAGCAGAAAAATAGAAAAGAAAGTGATATAAGAAAGTGCCTTCTGATCTCTACAGCAGCAACTACAATTTTAAATTGACCCCTCTCTAAAGTTGTATTGTAACTCTTTATTTTCATGATCTATCCTAGCTAATCATCAAAACCATAAATCACAACTTCATTTATTCTCTTTTAGACAAAAAGTCAATAAAGAGTTTCTAATCACCAATAAACAGTGATTCAGAGGATTTTAAACATTTCAGTGAAACCATGAAGCAATCTATTTAATTATGAAGATAAGTTTGGAGTAATAACTAAATTTTCTATTTTTCAGAAATAGAGGTTTAAAATTTATTTGTTTCATCAACCCAACAGTCCCAGTTGTCTTAATTACAGCATGGAAACATCTCAACCTATGCTCGAGCTTGATATCAGTTTTGGCATCCTTCCATCTAAAATCTATGGCTGGATTCACAAATTATATTAAGCCATAGCATGTTTATTTTTAGGGTAGCACAGCATACAGACCCAATCACTGGCTGTTTATGAGCCATGGTTTATAGCTAGCACCATGTGAGAAGTAGCCTACTACACTTTGTTCAATCAACTGCTTAAAATGCATGCTTCAATATGATGAGTTACCTCACATGACTTTAAATGTAGACATAAACATCTCTTCTACCAGCTTTGTTGTTGTTGTTGTTGTGAACTTCACCCTCCCTTCTCGAGTACTCAAAAGTGCACTCATTTGTAATCCCGAATTGGCTTAATAAAATAGTTTGTCCTAACACAGTTGTCAGAATTTTGCTATGGCTAACTTAGATTCCTTGGCTTTTTGTTTTAAATGTGTGTCCAAGATCATCAAACACTGCATGCTAGAGGCTATCAAACACCATAATTTCTCTTAGAGGCATGTAGTACATTATTTTTTCTTGGTCATTATTCTTTCACAAGAGCATTCAAGGTGACCTCAGGATTCCTAAGTAGGTCCCTATCTGGGCCCTTAACAAACTCAGCAAGGTATCATAGCCTGTGTCTTCAAGTTACATTATTCTAACATATGTACTATGCAGAATCTATGTAGGAGTATACATAACGTACCAAAATACTGCAATACTTTTTCAAAACAAGGACTCAAAATATTAACTGCCCATCATTCAAATTTATAACCATGTATTTCTTTAAAAAGAAAATAATGGAAAAAGAATACAGAGCAAATGTATCGTAATTTTACAAAGGCATGCAACAAGATGTAATTCATTAACCGTGTATAATCAAAGGACTATTTGCCAAACGCAAGCTCAAAAGGAAGCCAAATTCCCATATCAAAATGAAACTGAGATTGGACAATAATGAAACACTATAATCACAATGTAATAAACCTACTGGGTTTCTAATGCTAGCTGAAAACAATTCAACTGACTTCAATTAACTCTCTAATTTTTCTAGCATTCAAAGGTCAGACCCACAAGGAATACCTATAAATTTAACAAAGGCTCCTCCTCCCTAACATTTGGCCTCCAGGGGAAAGATGACATTGACCAGATATTACAGAGGAGCAGCACAACAGCAGAAGTATAAGATTCTACTGCATTTCATCTGCACAGCTTATGTAATTATTTTCTATTCCTTCCTTTTCATGGGAAGAGTGAAATTGCTGCAAGGTGGCTTTTTGGAAAACCAGCTTGTAAAGGCTGCTGTTCCCCTAGCAAATAATCTTACCTAATTTACTGGTTCCGAATACAGAGCATAATCACAGTATAGAACCCAATCCACATACCATACTTGGAAGCAGTGTGGAGGTGATATGCCATTGTCACTGCCTTCTTTCAAAAATATTGTTAACTTGCTCATCTAGCCTACAACCATGCCTCTTGGTCATCCATCCAAGTATTAATCAGCTGCAACCCTTCTTAGTCCCCCTCCCCCCCAGCTTACCCAAGGTTGACTAAGTGTGGCTATCTGCTGCAGAAATTACTTTTACCAAAAAAGAATATACATCATAAGATGAAGTGGTTCCCTGACTATCTGTCGCTATCTAGGATTGAACTTTCAGTCAACGTTACTGTCATAGCTTAGGAACCACTTTCATGTGGAGCTTTCCTGCTTTCCTTCAGTGATATCTGGAGAAATCCCAGTTCCCCCTAACTATGGTTCCCAAGGAGGTCACATTGAGCTCCCTTTATTTTCTATGGCTGGAATACTGGGAGCATTTTCAGTATTTTCACAAAACAACACTTGTGCTATTTTGAGTAATGTTCTTTCAGAGCTCATGAACTGATGTCATACAAAAGCCATGCCAAGCTATTCCACCCTGCATTTCCCCCTTGGTAAAATCCTACTAGAAATAGGAGTCACATTTGAGTATTGCTTCTGTACAGAACACATTCATGTGTGCATATACATTCTCCAAACATCTCTAAGCGTAATTGCCCACAAAAAGCCAAGCGTAGTTCCTTCTGAAATGAAACATTTTATAGATACCTTCATAAATTCATACTGGGTGACTTTAAATACCATTTTAAACTGCCTGGGTTATAGTTAAGTGTAGTGTAAGCTATATTAAATTTGTTCATTGTATGAAAGCTGGCAACTATTTTTTAATATAACTGGACTATTGCAATAACAAGTGATGTGGTGGCCTAGTGGTGAAGACATTTGTTTCCCACTTGGAACTTCAATCCTAGTAGTGACAAATACTTTTCTCCTAGGGCACAAAGAAAAAATTATCTGCTGCAAACTCCGCATAGGTGTCAGGAAGGGTATCTGGCAAGTAAATGCTCAGCATCATCCAGTCACCCTGTCTCTACCCCAAATAGGGACTATAAGGTAATAAAAAGGTAGTTTGGGCTATTGCAATAATGTGTACGAATAATGATCTTGCAAAACGCACTGAACAATGTTTCTGATTTGGGAAAAGAGACCTTAAGCAAATCAACATTTGAGTATTGAAATAAAACACATCAAGGAAAAAGATGACAGATGCATACTGATGAGCTTGCAGCAAAAACCTGAATATGAAAAATTTCATATATAATATAATCATTATTGTACTAAAAATTGGTATTATCGAGATGGAAAAGGTTGATCCAAAGGCACTCACAAGAAAAATTACAGTAATCTGGGTCATTTTGATTAAACAATCAGGTAGTCAATGATGATGGACAATGCTAAAGACATACCGAATTATGTGCCCCATTGGCTATATGAATAAAGGCTTTTTATTCTTCACATCAAGCATTTTGAGTATAATGGATGTTAGTGACCAACTTAGCCAGCTTTAAAGGATGAAAAATTCATGTGAGATAGGATTATTTGCATCTAATCAGTACATATTACATTTAATATCAAAAGCTATGTGCCTCTGAGTGATGATTGCTGAACAATGTTACTGCCTTCCCATCATATTTTAAGCCTCCCAAAAGTAACTGATCAACAACTTTAAAAAAAGGATTTGGCTTGTGTCTTGCAGAGCTTGTATATTCTTAAGTGATAATGCATTAGAAAGACATTTCAATATGCCCACTCAAAAAATTGCAGTAAAAATTGCCACCATATCCAATACCAGGTAAAAGGACTTAAGAGACAAAATGACTCAGACTTAATTTCAAAGTTAAAAGGCACAAAATATAGCTTATTTGTACCAAGAAAAAAAACCTCTGACTTACCTAGCCTTTTAAAATTCTTCCCAAAATAGCAAAAAGAAAACCTCTGTAGATCAGAGGCATTAAAAAGTATATTGACAATAGTTACAACACCAACAGAATCACTTAAAAGTGACTGTAGCAACAAAAAAGAGGATAAGCAAACAAGGCCAAATAAGAATAGAATAGAATTCTTTATTGGCCAAGTGTGATTGGACACACAAAGAATTTGTCTTCAGTGCATAAGCTCTCAGTGTACATAAAAGATATAAGTGATAAATCATTATTATAGTCATCATAAATACATTCGTCATGAATCATAAGACACAACACTTAGTGATAGTCATAGGATATTAAATAAGCAATTAACAAAATCGAACTAGGAAACTAAATAAAACAATATAAATCGTAAGGACACTAGCAACAAAGTTATAGTCATAAGTAGAAAAGGAGATAGGTATTAGGAAAAATAGTAATACAATCTTAGTAAATAGTTTGACTGTTATGGGAATTACAGGTGAAACTCGAAAAATTAGAATATCATGCAAAAGTTCATTTATTTCAGTAATGCAACTTAAAAAGTGAACCTAATAATTGAGATAGACTCATTACATGCAAAGCAAGATAGTTCAAGTCGTGATTTGTCATAATTGTGATGATTATGGCTTACAGCTCATGAAAACCCCAAATCCACAATCTCAGAAAATTAGAATATTACATGCAATCAATAAAACAAAGATTGTACATAGAACAATATCGGACCTGAAAAGTATAAGCATGTATATGTACTCAGTACTTGGTTTGGGCCCCTTTTGCAGCAATTACTGCCTCAATGCAGCGTGGCATGGAAGCTATCAGCCTGTGGCACTGCTGAGGTGTTATGGAAGGCCAGGATGCTTCAATAGCGCCTTC